GATGTAGTGGAGGAAGGTGATGAAGGTTGTATGTGGAGATTATATAAGTCAGAGTATTATGAGTGGAAGGCCTTTGCGATAAGTTCTGAGTTATGAACTATATGAGAGGAGCTAGACATGATTTTTGGGATAAACGTCCAAGCTCGTTTAGTGCGAATTGAGCGGGCAAGCAAGCGGCTACATTTGTCTCTATGTTCGTATAGAGACCTTTTAAGGGAGTCTCTATGTTTCAAATCAGCCTGGTCAAATAGGAGACGGAGTTGAGTACGCTTGTGTGTGAGTGTTTGGAAAACAGTGGAGTCGTTGGAGGATTTGTGACGAGTTTCAAGAGAGAGGATCTCCTGTAGTAGGGAGTGTACTGTTGCCGATTTCTCTTTTTTCAACCGAGAACCATGGGAGATGAAGGTACCCCTAAGAGAGCATTTGAGGGCCTCCCATCGAGTCGGTAGGGGAGTAGGGTCGTTGACATGTACCTGTATAAAGTCTGAGATTGTGCGTTGTACTGCCGCTACTGTGACCGGGTCTTGTAAAAGGTTTTCGTTGAGGCGCCAAGTTGGGGTACATTTCAGGGAGTCTGGAATAGATAATGAGAGGGAGATAGGATAATGGTCAGACCAAATTTGGGAGTCAATAGAGGCTTGAGGGTGCCAAGTAAGTAAGTGGTTGGAAGTGAAGAAAAGGTCGCTTCTACTGTGCGTTTTATATGGGTGGGAGTAAAAGGTATAGTCGCGCGTGGAGGGATGTAGTATTCTCCAAACGTCAATCAATTGAAGGCTATGCAGCTTCTTTTTAAGTCTATTAAGAGCAGAAAGGGGGACGTGAGATTTCCCAGTGGAAGAATCTAATGAAGGGTCAATGGTGAAGTTCAAGTCACCTCCTAAGATCAGAATGCCATCTGCAAAATCTTCCAGTCTGTCTAGAATGGAAAGTAGAGTCGGTATCTGATTTTGATCAGGTAGATAGACGTTAGCGAATGTCATTTTTTTTTAGTATATTTCACCCTTGACAAAGATAAATCTACCTTCCTCGTCATTCTTTGTATCTGAGACAATGAAAGGAATGGATGTATGGAAGCAAATGGCAACGCCTCTGGATTTGCTGACTGGGTTATTGCTAAGATAGACTGTCTGGTAATAGCGAGAAGTCAGAGGAGGAGCTTGGGGTCCTTTGAAGTGGGTTTCTTGTAGAAAGAGAACATGAGCTCTGCGCTTGTGCATTTGATACAAGATCTGGGATCGCTTTCTTGGTTCATTGATTCCCTTCACGTTGAGTGAGATAAGATTCAATGGCGTCATTATTAACGATGGAGACGATATCCGTCAAGTATGAGAAGAGGTCAGGTATGACCAGAAGAAGAGAAAAGAGGAGGAAAGAAGAGAGAGAGAAGGAAAAAGAAAGGGAAAGAAAAAAGGAGGTGGGGGGATGGGTGGAGGGAGGAAGAGTTGAGAAGGAGGGGTGGATAAGGGTATGGAGGGTGTAAGGTCGACCTAAATGTCAACCACTAGGGTGGGGTACAAGTCCCCAAAATACACGTACCAGGAGCGAGAAACCCAACAAGTGGAGAATCTCGTCCCTGGACGTGTGGGGTTGAGGAAGCTTAGGCGGCAACGTCTGCAGCCGGGCCAGGCATCACGGATAGAGTAATTAAATGCACAAATGAGTGCCAATTCGTATGTAAACAAGATGTAAACAAGAGGTAATATATATATATAAACAGCGACAGGAGAAATTTTTCCCTCAAAAAAAAATAAAAATAAAGCAATAATATGAACTTATTGCATTTAGGCTTATAACAGGATCCTCATCACATTTGAGGAGGTGAGTGTTCAAACATCAAACATTCTGTTTTACGTCAATGAGGAGGGTCCAATCGTATATCTTACAGTTTGTATGTTAGTATTGTCTCTGGAAATTTAGGAGGGTGTGATTAAAGAGGTGGATATTGTATTAGCGAACTAGGGCATTTGATCTAAGCATTAAGTTGGGCTGGATAGCGGGTAGAAAGTGGGCTGAATGGGTGAACACCACTACGTTTCACTCACTCCATTGGGGGTGTGGGGAGAGACTGGAGTGTGAAGAATGGTGGAGGAGGGACACTTGCGGGCGGGTTAATGGTTTAAATCAAGGGTAGTGAATGTATGGATTCTATGTCGGTAGGGGATAAGACACAGGGGACATTGTTGGGAGGGTTAATTGTAGACCTAGGCAGGGTGTAAGGTATAGACCAGCAATCCTTTTGAGAACAAAACACTCAGTATTTGAGCAAGTGGAAACAAACATAAATTGAGATTAGAATCCTCATCATGAACTTTCAAACTTATGCTATTCGCATGCGGCCAGTTTCAGTAGGGGGGATGGTCATCACGCATTTGAGATGTCATAGCGTGCAGAGTACATTACAAATGAAGGTGGATTAAGCAATATATCCTCTTACAGGGAGACCCGATCAAGGATCTTCTTTATTCAGGCAGTAGGTCTGGATTTCCCTATTTAAGGGAGGGTTGTAATGTGTTAGATAGTTCTGGAAAGGTTTTCGACATTTGGTATGGCAAGTATCATGAAGTTCCACTTGTTTATATATATATTATAGCTTCATGGTGGAGGTGGGGGGTGTAATTGCTAGTTCGCGTGGGAAGAGGAGTGGGTATCGTCGCTAGTGACGAGATTTTGTTTTTGTTAAGGAGAGAGCAGGACAGTCTTCAGGACTGATTGTCGAAGTATGGGATAAGGACCTTTTAGTGTCAAGTCAGGGATTACTTAATATAACTATACAATATAATATATATGTATACATATGGAAACACATGTACACACATATGTACACAGCAATATGCAAAACATATATTAGTAGACAAGTAGAAAGTTACCCATCCCATAGTGTTGTATAAATGAGGGAGTTTTGGAGCTAAATATAGGTCACAGTAGAGGTTCTGTATGTAGTATGAGAAGCACATATATTCAAACTTTCAACATAGATGGTATTTGGAGCATGACCATACTGGGACCTGAGGAGAATGACTAAAGTGAACAAAATGAACAAAACCCTCTCTCATGAGGTAGGGAGATTCCTGGTATGCGTGTAGGTAAAAGGGTATGAGGTCTTGTGAAACCAGTGTATGAAGGGAGACTAAGAGGGAGAGGTAAAAAAAAAAATACCTTAAAAACAGAATAAGATTGTTCTTGGAAGAACGAATGAAATCAGTTTCTATATTGATATAGTAGTCTTCTCTCTCCTTTCAGTGGTATACTGCAATAGTTCAGAGCAGGCATGGGAACAATGTTAACCCATCTTGGATTAGATTTCAAACAAAAGGGTGTATGGCAATAAGTTGAACTGTCGGATGTGAGAGGGCTATAACTTCATGGGGACAGTCAAGGCTAGATATATGAGAGGGTTTTTGGAAGGGAAGAGAGGCATCGTGGCAGAATCAACAGTGGTAACATAAAAATACTTGCGATTGGAGTTAGACCCGAGTCTCCTTCAGTATCGGTGGGAGAGGTCCAGTGGAGGAATCTCGTGAGGAGCAAGTGAAGAAGTGAGAGAAAAAAGTGACTACAGTCAGCCATTGTTGCTTGGTAGTGTAGGGTGATCTCAGCGTCGTTTTTTCTGGGGAAGAACTTCCCTCCACTGGTCGTCTTGGGTGGCAGTAAGGGTAGGTGTTGGAGGATCCGGCCACGGTTCCAGCTCGACAGGGGAAATCCCCAGTTGCCTGGCGAAGCTATCAAGGTCGGAAGGGCTTCGGAGGATAACTGACTTGCCGTTCTTTCTTGCCAGTAAGTGAAAGGAGTAGACCCATCGGTAGGAGATGTCGCTGTCTCGTAGCATCCTGGTCAGGGGACGGAGGGCCCTCCGTCTGGCTAGAGTACGCTGTGAGAGATCTGGGTAGAGTGTGATCTCCGCTCCATCAAAGTCCAAGGAGCCTTTCTCTCTGGCCTTCACCATGATCTCCTCTTTCTGACGCAATAAATGAACCCTGCACAGGACGTCGCGTGGTTGTGTCATAGAGGGGTTTCGGAAGCCGGGGACACGGTGAACTCTATCAATCTCTAGAGTCTCTGTTGCAGGACGATTCAGTAGCGTGTTTAGGATACCACGAACTGAGTGTTCAAGTTCTGATGTGACCGTGGCTTCGGGGATACCGCGGAGCCTGATGTTGTTTCTACGGCTCCTGTCTTCCAGGTCATCCATGTGGTACCAGGTCATTTGGAGTTGTTGGTTTTGCTGCACAGCTACTGACTGGAGCTCCGCAATAGCTATGTGATGAGAGGTTCTCATCGACCGCGTCCATGCGGCGGTGAAAGCCATGGATCGCCTCCCGCAGGTCTGCCATGTCTCTCTTATGCAGGGCCTCGAAGCGGGAAAAGAGAGCTTCTATATCCCGCTTTGTGGGTAGATTGATGAGAGCTCGGCGGAACTCTCCCTCATCCTGGTCTTCATCTGAGGATGCTGCGATAAGCCGAGAGGTGACAGGGGAATCCTCCTGGTGTGCAGAGGAACAGGCTGGAGAAGCAGGGTTGCCACGTGCCGTCGCCATGTTGTCAGTACGTCGGCGGCCCTGGGAGCCCTGAGAATTCTGAAAGAAGGTCTCGATATCCGTTTTGGCAGGTCGAGCGGGTGTTTGTTTTGAGCCCGATGCCTTCTTCTTGTTTGTAGGACCCATATATAACACTACATTTAGTAGCAGCATAGCAGAGAGCGCTACAATTGTATAAAAAAAGATATAAAATGACTCAATTACGCAAAAATTTAGATGCTTCATACAATAATAATAATAATAATACAATTGATTGGTTATACCATTCCTATCAAATAACTAATAACAGAAATGAAATACACTCTGTGACGGAGGTTGTGGGAGACACAGAACACACACTGAGACCAAGAGTGGTTTTTAGGACCCTTGACCAGCGGGTTCTTTATTGGGGGTTCTCAACATTAGGATACGGCAAGTGTGGTAGTAATCCGGGCCAAACAAAGGACTAAAACAGCAAGGGACAGCATGGGCAGAGTCCAGGGGGCACAGAAGAGGAATCCGGGTAAGGCAATGGATAACAGCAGCAGGGCACAGCATGGGTAAAGTCCAGGGGCACAGGGCAGTATTCCAGACACAGCAAAGGGGTAACAGCAACCAGGGTTGATAAAAGAAAGTCACGACTCACGACTAATGTCACTCAGCAGAAGAGGGATCCACATGGGATGGTAAGGCAGGAGGTGGTCTGTAGAGCCTCTTTATTGTTCAAACAGGACAACAGTTCACAGCTAGTAAGGCCCTACAAGTCCCAGTAGTCCCCAAGACACACATCCGGAGCTAGATGACCCAGCAGTCCTCATCTTCTACTGGTCTCTTTCCTATGAGACCCTCCAGCCATGAGTCTCCCGTGTCTATCACTGAAATATAACTCAGAACACACTGACCTCTTTCTCTGAGCACAAGGCTGTAAATATCTTGTACCTGGAGTTCAGCAATCAGAGATCTAAAGCCCGGACGGCTGTTGCCGAGGTGTCTGACTTTGTCCTGGTGCAGGATACAATACATCCTGAGCTTCCTGCTGAGAGGAGCCTCACCTCCAGACCTCCTGCATGGGCACAAGAATTCATGCATCAATTATGAAGATCAGCTGACTGAAAAGCTTAACATGAACAGATGTTCTTAGAGGTAAATTTCCAAACACATCTAATATTTCAAAGCTAATAATTCTGATCTGCGTTACACACTCACAGCGTCCTTCCACATCCGGACATCTCAGTAGATCCCGAGGAAGAGACACAACATATCCCAGCGTCAGACACCCAGACATTGTGCCTTCCCTGTTATCACCCATGGCTTCTTATTGTCACCCTGACACTTGCCTTGTCCCTTCCCCCGACCTTCATTTCTAATCTTATTCTTATACTTAACCCCCAACCCGAAATGTTCCTTCACACCCCTTCCCCTAGGTGACCCCCAAACCTGAAGTGTCCCCTGACCTCTCTGGCAGACATCTTACTGGGCTGATATGTTGGTGATGATTGGTACCAGTCTCGGCTATGAATGGCTCAGATTTGCAGTGGTGGCCCCTAGAAGTACGTGTCTGTATGAATTGTGGCCCCAATCATGTCACTCATGTCACTGTGTGCTGGGCCTTACCAGACACCTGAAGACACAACCCATCACCTGCAGGGAGAAATAGGAGGAGGGGCTCCAATCACCAGAGGGTTGGTGGGATTATCTGACACACTAATAACATTCTTAGAAATAAATATGATCAGATTCTGAGGCAGCGGTTCTCCGGCTTTGGGTCACCGCGTGCCTTCTGCTGTGCGAGGTGAGAGGCTCCTCAACTTCCTCCTAGTGCAGCAGTGTCAGTTCTCCCTCCGGCCGCCAGATGTCACTGCAGCAGAGACGGCCGGGGAGGAGCTGACAGTAGGTGAGGGTTTTTTTTATGCATTTAGCCACGCAGGGATAAATGTACAGAGGGAGAGACCTGTGCGATTCTTTCGTAATCGAAATTTGGATGAAATTTGGAGATTTGGATGTATCCGACTTACGAATTACAGACATAACGAATGCAAACGAATCAGAATGTTCTGAAATTCGTTAGCGGTAGTCTATACCAGGGCTCAAAATTTCCACTCGCCCGCTCGCAATTG